CAATTGTAGATATCAACAGCGAGCCAGATCCACAGAGTCCAGTCCTGTGCGCTGAGCTTCAGCAGTGATGTGAGGTGGGCTTACAGCGCGGCTCTATTTCTACCGGATCAGCAAATACTCTCTATATAGGTATGCGGTATCAAGTGTGAGGGTTATTTTTGTACTTCTGTCAGTTCTGCTGGTTTTCGCGCTGGAAGAAGTATATGTGACCGAGCAGAATTGGTATTGATTAATTTTGACCTGAAAGACCTGCGCATAGATGTGTTTTGGAAAGGACTTGATCACACGGGAATCTCAATGGTAGGCAAAATATAGTATTTGCATGTGGAGTTAAAATCGCAAGCTATTGAACACAAAATGTGAAGTAATCGTATATGGGAGCGTTTTCACGCCGAAGTTACAGGCAACTCTGCCTGTTTCATCACATCAGTGTATTTTTTAAGTAGGCTACAAACTATAGTTTTAGAACATTAATCATATTTACTCTCTCGAGCATACAGGAAAATGCTTATTGTGTCCGCCAGTGATGAATTTAATGTGGATGGTCTCTCTGATGGCCAGAGGAGCACGGGGTGCACTGCCATGATGACATTGGGCTGCTGCCATATGTGATAGCCTATACGGAGTTAGATTTTTCTGTTACCCGACTCTTCTTCAATAACTAAAATATCGTGTATTTTTAAAAAGTTGCATATCAATTAAATGTGATCTGTAAAGGAGTGTAATGACTTTAAAACTTGCCCGGAATAAATTGTACTTTGCACATATCAGCTTTGAACAGAGGTAATGACAGGCAGACCATGCACTGCCTCCACAACAGCTGCCTTTTTAAAATTCAAATTCAATTTCTGAAATTGGATTGATTTTAAATTCGAGATTGCAAACAGAATTACATTTTTAATGAAATGAAGTGGAATTCATTTGAATTTCAATTCCTATTGTTGCAAGGATAATTTTGAATAAAAAAGTTCAAGACAAGCTTTGAATTTGAAGCCATGACATGTTTGAAAATTTCAGAAAGTTTTGAAGTGTCTTGAAGTTTGAGGATTAATAGGCTTTACAATTAGATGGGAACATAAAACATAATTTTGTTTGGAATTTGGAACTGTACATTTATTTATTTATACAAATGTTAATGTTTGTTTATTTTGTGAATTATTTGGATTTTAGTTATTACACATTTTAATGTGAGAAAAGGCTAAGGCAACGTACCTCGGTAAGGGAAAGGTACTGTAAAAGAAGTGTAACTGTGATCACATGTGCCTCGTAAGCTAATGGTGTTCTAGTGTTTGAGGATCCCATAAGTAAATGTGTAGTTCCAGAAAATGAATCGCATGCACTTGTTAATTTTTTTTCATAAGTTATAAAACAGCTTTTTTCAGCTCATTCCAAAATGAATGTCATTCCACGTGTGTTCGACAATTAGCAGACCAGCAGTCAATTTATTATGTGACGAGCTGTTTCCACACAAGAGCAGTGTATTCAGTGTGTTCTCCTCCGTTCAAACAGAACAGCTTCTGCAATACACATTTTTATAGTCTTGAAGGGTCCCTGGGAACTCAGATTGTCTTCTGGTTTATTCTTGATTTAGGGTTGTTCCAATTCATTCTGATGTTTGTCCAATAATATTTTGGACAGAATGTTGAGTATGTGGTTGTCCTGAGAATGTTTTACCTAGTCATTTCTGTTATAAATGCAAATTTTATAGGTATACCTCACCACCATTAACTGCAATTGGTTTGATGAATGTTTTGACTGGAGCCAGATTCTAGCCAAAGAAATATGGCCCATTGTGCTGATTTTTAGACCAAGGTTGATTAAGTAACTTAATGTGTTTCTGTTTGATAACAAAAATGTGTGAGATCTGGGCCGTTTTTTAAAGATCATGACGTTGATGTTTTGATAGTTTATAGTCACTGACAATACCTCTGTTCCAAAAGCTGTTGTGTTTTTGTGTCAGTGTGTTCTCTCCATTGTCTAACAAACAGAGCGTCTGTTGAAGGGCTTGCCTGAGCAGAGTGCCTCATTTATGCTTTCTAGCAACATTGTTCACTTCTGCTCTGAAACTAATAAATAACCTCAGGCCTTCAGAGGAGTGGCATAGGTAATTTTCACATTGTAAAATGTCTTATTTTTTTAACATGACTTTGAGTAAAATTATGGGATGCATTATATTCTCCGGACTCCGGACTCTCCGGAATTTTTGAATATCTATGATTGGACTGTTGTAAACACAGAGATATCGGAATACCATAAAAGAAAAACCATTCGCACTTCCTGACACTTCTCTGCGAGTCTGAACAGGACTCGCCTGATTCCTTCTCTGGAAATTTCAGTTATTCAGTTGTGTTTTGATTAGAGCCTTTCTGAGATCCAACGTTGTTATGCAAAGAGCAGTCTTGCTTATGTTGACCCACTTTTGCCACTTTCGCTTAATGCAGTATTCACTCTGTTATATTAGATATGCTGTGCTGATAGATCTTATGCTGATTTGTAGTTTAACATTAATTTCACTTTTGACCTTATATGCAAATAAATAAATAACTCAATGAAAATGATCTCACCTAAAAAGTTACTTGGTGCTGCTTGTAATGAAACAAAATGTGCAGGTTGCAATGTAATTTAATGAATCACTCCATTGGTTGGTTTGGTCAGGGCTAGAACTGATGTGCTAATTGCTCTCTGACTCCCATGGTTCATTATCTTGCTCAGTTTAGTGAGTGCACACGCATGTGCACGTTTACCATGCACACTCAACATTCACGTGCTTCCATTTGTGTCTTTCATGTGCATATGTGTAAAAAGAACTTGAACAATGAATAGCTGATGCTAACTTTTACGGTTTGAAAAAGAAAATACATTTTTCTAAATAAATCGTGGCGTAATGCATTATTGAAATGACTTATGCTCCCCTTGTGGAGATAATTCACCCAAATATGATAATTCTGTCATACTCACAGTACTTAGTCGTGTCTTTCCAAACCTGTGTGATTTTCTTTCTCCTATAGAACACAAAAGAAGATATTTTGAAGAACATTTGGAACCAAAAAACATTGGTTACCATTGGCTCACATTGTATGTAAAAAACAAAAAAACAAACAAAACACTGGGACTGAGAAAATATGTTATTTTAAGTCATTAAGGTTTGAAATTACTGATGACTATTCCTTGATGTAAATGAATGAATATAACTTATCTATATGATAAACCTTTGTCGTAATGGCATCTTTTTAGTGAACTAAGTTTTTATTTTTTTATCACTTAATTATTTTTTTTGCTACATTTATCAATTGTAGCGATCGGAAAAAATGTTAACCGTTACCAAGATTTTGTATAAACATAGTGACTTATTTCCATTTTAAAACATTACTTGTCTAATAGAATGTTTAAAATCTTTACAATTCACATGATCAAACTGGAATAGCCTCATGTTTGAATGAACCATACAGCACTATGTTGATTTAATCGGTTAGGCAAGACACACAACACTCAATTGACACATCTAGGATCAGTATTATTTGAGGGAAATGATCTGTAAACAGACACACTGTAGTTTATTCCCTAGAACATTTCAGAGCCTCTCTGACTTTAGCTGGGTCACTTATGCAACAGCGAGGTGGCTTTTCCCACACTTGAGAATGAGATGGAAACACTGGCCTTTGTTTTTGGTCGGAGTGTGTGCCAGTTGAGCTAACCTTGATAAAAGTCAAGGTTGAAGGAAATACACACACACACACACACACACACACACACACACACACACACACACACACACACACACACACACACACACACACACACACACACACACACACACACACACCAGGATATAGTTAACTGATTCAACTGCAGAAGTATGATTTAATGCTAAAGGTATGCGTTACGAGTCATGCTCTAGAGCCCCTGACGTATTGTCACACACATACAGGTCTTACGGTCTGTTAAACCTTTCAGCACACAAAGAAACACACTAACACATGCACTCAAATGTTCCCATTATACCGCTGCTGTACCTTTATAAGTTTTGACTGCTGAGTCCAGTATCACCAGAGACATGATAGCCTATTAGACCTATGTGTGCAAGTCAAACATGCCAAGACTAACAACAAACTCTGATTATTTGCTCTGACTCTTTGCCAAATTATAGTTTGTTTATCATCTCTCACTTCTTATTAAATTTTGTAAAAAAAAAAACTTTCTTTCTAAGTAAATCTCACTTTTAACTTTGACCTAAAGAACTCGTGTTGTAAGATGTGCCGCTCACTTTGAATTTGGATGGGTTTCATCTTTGTGTAATTTGATATAATTGTTTTGTTGTGGTTTTTTACTTTGAAGTAGCCTAAGTCTCAGTTCAGTTGTAAATAAAAGGCAAATGCCAAGCAAGCAAGCAAAAAGATCAGATTTTTGGAGCAGATTTTAAAATGTCTTCGAAAGTGTCTTAAAGCATATTGAAAACACCACATAGACATATAAACAACATAACAAACTTGATTTTCACCACAAGGAGAATTTAATAGATTTCAAAATGTCATTTATTCTTGTGAAGGGAAAGTCTATGATTAAATCAATGCTTTGTGTTCAGTTAGTATGTACTACAGCAGTGGTTCTCAATCTTGGTCCTGGGGAGCCACTGCTCTGCACATTTTATATCTGACACACCCACTTCAGTTAATAAAGCTCTTTCCTAATGAGCTGATGATCTGAATCAGGTGTGTTAAATGAGGGAGACATACAAACTGTGCAGAGCTGTGGCTCCCCAGGACCAGGATTGAGAACCACTGCACTACAGTATGTGCTAAACACTCTTTCTCTTTCTCTCCAAAACTGCAGGCAGACTGGACTGGGAGTGTCTATAAGGATGTCAGAATTGTTGTCCTGATACTGTCTTTCTCCATGTGGCCTGCCGATGTGGATTTTGGGCTTTATGTATAAAGAGACACTCTGAACCAATGAAGAATTTTTCATGAGAAAGAATCAAAAAAGCATCCTGACTCTGTCCAGTTGGATTGAATTTGAATGCTAAGTGCATTGTGTTTTTTTTTCTTCTTCAGTCCATTTATTCTCTTCGCCTTTCCTCTTGTCCGTTCACCCTGCTGCAAGATCTGTCTCTCTGTTGTGCTGGAGGACGCAGTGGGTCAGACATGTCGGCCAAGGCTCCCATATACCTTAAGCGACGAAGCCGTAAAGGAAAGAAGGAAAAGCTGCGTGACCTTCTTTCATCCGACATGATCAGTCCTCCGCTGGGAGACTTCAGACACACCATCCACATTGGAAGTGGAGGAGGTGCCGACGATCTTTTCGGTGACCTGTCTTTCCTACAAGGTAAATTTCACCTGTTACCGGGGCAGCAAAGTCATCAAGGGTCCTTCCAACTAAGTCGCACAGCAAGTGTAAGCAGTCACCCGCCAGCCAGCGAGAGCTCGCCTCTGTTGAAAAATGCCCTGTCACTGCCTATCATTGGAGGGGTGCAGGCGCTCACACTTCCGGCTGTGACTTCAGCAGGAACGGTGAATGCTGAGATCCCAACAGCCCTGATAACAACTCAATCGCCCCCAACATCTCCGTCTCTCGCTCCACCTCCCAAACCTCCCAGACTGCACCTGGAAGAGAGGAACTTGTCACCGCATACATCGCTTCGGCATACATCTCCAAACCGCTATCCACTTAATCTGCACACATTTGGGCAGAGTCCAGAGGAAGATGAGAAATTTGTAAAGGATGGGGATGGGGGAGAAATGCCGTATTTGTCCAACGCCGGCTCTATGCTTTCCCTCCATCTGGACTTGGGGCCATCCATCCTAGAGGATGTGCTTCAGATCATGGACAATGAGAGAACAGGGACGTTCAGTGGGCGACTTACACCCAGTGGACGACAAGAGATATATACCTGAAAGTGAACAAAGAGATGTGAGATATATAAATGAGCTAATCACATTTTTCTTCATGCATCAAAACATTTTTCCATCTGAGAGAACTCATTTACCTGCTGTACAATGGCATTTCCTGGAGACTTTGTCCTTTTTTTGCTCATTATGCATTTAATCTTTGGAAACTACATGATTTGAACCAATCAAAATTGAATCGGTTTCATCATTGGATTTCTCTGTTGTTCAAATGGATTGTTTTAATTCATCTCTGTTATTTTTGGACTACAAACAATGCAACAATTCTGGCTTTAGATCTACTCTTAGATACATTTTGAAACATTTGATCTGAAAGCATTTTAGTAAGCACATCTCAAACTTACCTGCATTGAGTGTACAGTATGTACTATTACAGAGCAACATCCTACATGCCTCCTGGATTCACTACAGGAAAAGAAAAACTGACATTTTCCTCTTTCAGAGCAGCGATGACATCATCTCCCCCCTCTGTGTTGTTGCAATTTGTGTAATCGGGTAAAAATGCGCAGCTCCTCCCTAATGATCTGGACACGCACACGCGCCAGGAGGCCTGTGCGTCTACACCCTGGGATTTTAACGTTCTCTTTTCTTTTTTTTTATGGGGAGTAGTCTTCATTGTTCAGAAACAGAAACCCAAAGGCTGGCTTTTCACTGAACAGGAATATGGAATGTTTTCCTTTCATAAAATACTCATTTTTTCTGTGTTTGGTTGTTATTGAGGTGTCTGCGATCCCTCAGGCATTGACAGATGATCACTTTTCATGCAGCAGTAGTTTTTCCTTTCTCCGATTGAGCATGAGCGATGGGGCCAAAAGAAGGGCTTGTGTTACCTTGGTATCCCCCATGTAACCCACCCCACAGGGGTTGAGAACGCTCTATGCTTGCCGTTCACAGATTTAGACTGTAGTATTATTTTCTTGTTGAATTAAAATAAATAACTCTTTACTTTTTTCTAACTTACCTTGCAAAAAGTGCTTTAAACTGTCAACGAGGTGGGCTTAAAAGAACAAATACTAACAGAAACAGTCATATTGCAATCAGCATTTTGTGATGCTATCTTTGCACTGTAACAGCACTAAGAAAACCTACTGTATTCATTTAAACTCATCAGTTCTCATATTAAAAGGTACACTATGTAACTTTTGATGCTCTAGCGGTTAATAAACAAAACTGCATGCATCTTGAGGCGTCCAGAGCTACTTCTCCGTTTATGTATGTCTGCAGCAGTTGTCGCCCCGCTCAGTCTGAAATAGTCCAAATATAAACACTTATTCTAGGCATACCGTACCATACTCACTATATACATTTTGAACAAAAAAAAAGTTACATAGTGCACCTTTAAAAAAAATCTATTTGAGATGTGAAACAATGTACAAAGGTTTTTTGTTTTTGTTTTTTGTCTGAAAAGTTTTGTTCTAAGTAGCCATTGTTTCTGACACTGTGTCTATACCGGACGCAGCCGTTGTTGTCACGCCGCTAGAAGCTGTCCGCAGTGGACCATTGCAAATCCATTTGTCCTTTGTAGCAGAAGTAGTTCGAGCGCTTGGAGTACATCAGAAATATAAAAGGGGAGCAATTTTCTGTTGGAAATTTGTTGCATCTCGTCGCACTGTATCCAGTGTCATCAGCATCACTGATTATAATGGGTTCTACTTGCTTTTGTCGCATCGTGCCACTCGTGTCTGATGTAGACACGGTGTCAGAGTATTTAGTGGGTCTTTCTTTAGGATTCTTGGTTCCTTTTTTCGTTACTAGTGAATTGTCTTCCAATTTTATCCTTACATTGTGAATTCCATTTCCAAAGCTGAATCTATTTACGAAGTCATAGTTCCGTGCACTTAACTTTGCTGACATACATCTGATCTAAAGACCAATTAAATCCACTAACAGATTAAATCCTATGGTGTACCTTTCTAATTTCAGTATTTATTTTTGTAAGCTTAAAGACTAATTTCATTACATTTATTATTCTCCTACTGAACAGGGACCTGAATGTTAGACATAGAATTATTGATCAAAACTCTTTAGTATTTATTCTGGATTTACTAAAACTTACCACTACATTAACCAGACGTATGTGAATTAAGCAGTTCTCACAGCCACTTTACTCAAAGGATTTGAAAGAGACAATATGAAAATATCTTCACATGTCATTTTTATTGATTACATCAATGTGTGTTAGTGGTTTGTGCCACGTGTATAACTCATATATGCAGTTATATTTAATTAAGACAGATGATCTTATGATTTTGCTTCACTGAAGCACAATTACAACAAGAAAAAAAAAACAATAAGTAAAAGTACAATAGAATTTTAAAGGTTAGACCGTTTAACAAGCAATTGGGTAAATATAGTAGATGTAAATTTAAATGATGCATTACTAAAAACCACACATGCCTTAATAAATATCTCTAAAATACTTTTCTACTCCACCACAGCAAAATACTGTGATCATTCATGTTGACTAATATTAATGCTATTTTTAGTTCATGAAAAATATAAACTTGAATTATTACTCGGAATTTGACGATTAAACTCAAAATTGCATAAATATATGACATTCCTGACAAAGACATTTTACCATAAAAATGCATCATGGTTTTAGTCTGAAGGGGAAACAGCTGCAAATGTTATCTCTATATTGTAGCGTAACGTTGCTGCCTTTCAGTAAAAGTGAATCATTAATAACTTTTTCTACACATCCGTAGAAAAATCATATGCCTCTAACACCTGTTCAGATTTGCACCAGAGGACATTTTTCTTATTGGGCTTTGTCAGATACTATACTGTGGATGTTAAGTGGATCTTTGCTGCTGCTGCTGCTGTACACACTACAATAGACTTACAGGATAAGATATAGAGACAGAAACATAATGGTGAATAAATGCTGATTCAAGTCTGGCTGTGTTTTTTTTCTTCTCCATATAAGCACAAAGGCAGTCAAACAATGGATGGTTTATGTGGATTATATGTGAAACTATATGGATTTGTACTGCCTTACCCTGCCCTATTTCATTGCAACCGAACTCTTTAGCTAAGACTAGAATTTATTATGGGTGAAAGAATGAGCAGAATTGCAGGTCAGTGCATGAACGACTCTGGTATTACTGCACTTACCTGTGAGACACTTTTTTCATCGCAAGTCTTATAGCATGCATGCCTCTACTTGAATCTGTTTTGAATACAAGCAATGTCTTGAATTTGCAATTTTGAGCCTCCTTTGGCTGGGAGCCAGCCTCGTGGTTTTGTGTGTGTGTGTGTTCAAGGCACTTTAAGAGTTTGAGAGTGTGTGTCTGTGTACTCTGTTTATTTGCAGTAGCTCCTCTATTTTTTGCACAGGCCCTGGGAATCCTTCCAACTGGCTTTATTAACAGAGCAGCCCGAGTCCCTGACCTTACGATCACAATACCATGGGAACACCAGCTAGAAAGAGGGGAGAGGTTGGAGAGAGTAGGAGGAAGGGAGTATAAGGAAAAGGGTTGAGGGAAGGTGAACAAGGGCCAGGATGAAGGAAAAGAGGAAGTGAAGAATTGCAGAAGAGCAGATATATCAGAAAGGAGACCATAGATCACAGTCTATGATTCATTAATTTGACAAAACGCATTGTTGCACTTTCTTCATACACATTACGTTAAAGAAAAAGAGGGTGAGGCTCCTACAATCAACTCTCATAAACAGCGGATCTGCATTCTGATTGTTATAAATCTATAGGAACTAATGTTTCACAGCATAGTATTGGGCCACGCTTGGCAGGCTGAAGCTGAATGAACCAGCTAATCAATGTCTTCAGGATCACTAGAAAGCTACAGGCAGTTGAGTTTTTATCAGGGCTGGAGCTTAACTCTGCAGGACAGTAGCCTCTCTAGAACAAATTCTGCCTATTTTAGCTCTGTTCCTCTATTGCTTCAGTTTAAAGGTGTTTTCACACCTGGCTCGTTTGGAGTGTTTGTTTCGGAACCTGGTGCGTTTTCTCCCTTCGGTTAATTTAGGCGTATGAACACTGCAATCGCGCTCAGATCCGCAGATCGCCTGGATGAGGTGGTCTCGGCCCTAATGAAAATTAACTCTGGGGCAGTTCATTTGAGGTGAGAAAGCAATTTGACCCAACGGACTAACAAACCAAACAGTATCAAAATTCATAACGGTAAATGTGTATAAAAAACCGCAAAAATCAGGCTTGATTTATATATGATATTTAGTGAAATATTAAATGATTAGAGTTCAGTTATCTGAGTGAGTAATTTTGCAGGTAATGTAGGGGACAGATAGGCTTGTGCGCATTTGTGAATCAAGGCCGCTGAACGACCGTCTTACAAGATTCCACAAATACAAAAGTGCATATTCATGGACATTCTTAGGGCAGAACAACCCTGCAAAAGACTCGTGATTTGTTGTGCATGAAGTTACAGTTACAGATAAAGCATTTATGGATTGAGAGCAAAGACAATAATGTATAATCATTTGTAGATTGGTGTGTGCACGTGTGTGGATCTCTTGCGTGCATTTGTGGGAGGTTTTGATACTGTTTTCACCCCATAGTTTTCAATGTACAGGGTGTGTATGTGCATCTTTGTGTGATCTCTCTAACCTAGGAGGGAATTACAGCCCTTATATCATAGCCCTTGCTATAATGTGTTCCTTTCTCTTTCCTCACTCCCATACTAACAGAATGTAACAGATAATAACCACCCAGGCAGCTTCTGCAAACACGCACACGCATATAAAAACATTTCCATGGAATATTCTGAAAGTGCTCCGAGGAAGGGAGGATACTGAAAAGTATTCACCATGTGCTCTGTTACTTCAGTGCAGCCTTTGTGAACGTGTCAAAGGCTTTGCTCTGTGTGTGGCTACTATTCACAACCTGTCAGTTGGTATTGAGCAAGACGATTAAAGGAGGGAAAGCGAAGGAAAGAAGAGAACATATGAAGAGGTTTGGAGAGGCAGAATGAAAAGAAGTTTGTTGTATGATATGGCCTATAGGCCTACCTAAAACTGGCTGG